ATGAGAAAATTGTGATCTGTACAAACGTATTAACACTTACTATAATAGAAAAAATGAAACTCATTAATTATACTAAAAAAGGATTTTACAAAAATGAGCATAGCAAACATCTAAAAAGTTGATTGCAATCATTCCTTCATATTTCATGTGATTGTACTGGTAAAAGGTCATAAGTTATATCAATCTTCATTATGACCAAATGATCTATGATAGGTTATATAGGTCATTTAAGGTTATAGGCCAATGCTGGTTATAACCGACCGAATAGATTAGCAGAAAACAAAGGTTCAGTAGATTGGCCCAAATTATAGTCAGATTGCACCGGCGTTGATTAATTTTGCCCAAGATCACTCAAAATTTTACTAATAAAACTATAGCTAGAGATGTCAAATTACCATAATTTACGTAATTTTGTAAAATTTTGCGTAAGTTTTCAGTAACATGGTTTTCATGTAATTTGTAAGAAACATGATCATATGCTCATATGATTGGTTGGATCATATATATATCAATTTGGTCAGTGAACTTTATGCAGAATCTACTGTAGTTCAATAATGCTAGCTGAGTTTTTTATAGTGCCAGTATGTGTGAAATTTATATAAAATTCAAGTTACTAAAATTTACGCAAAATTACATGAAATACAACTCTAACCATAGCCCACTCACAAGTATACATATATTTCGTACTGTACGATAGAAAAATTTATATAGTATTTTTTTTTCTTTAATTGTTCATATAGTACTGTACACCTCTTTATTATAATAAGAGAATAGTAAACAAAGGGTGTATGGTACTGTATTTTCATATTCCAAAATATTATATAGTATATAATAAAGATAAAAATTACGAGATCATGTCTATTATAGGAGACCCCTTCGATTTAGCACTTGGGGTGTGACCAATTATGGGTATGACAAATAAGTATTTATTATAGAAACTATATAGTAAATACTTATTTGTCATACCCATGATTGGTCACACCCCAAGTACTAAATCGATCCAAATTATGTAGTTCATCATTCAAAAATCATTATTGTATCATATTAATATATACTGTATAACGATAATGAATGATAAACGAATTGATAAATTTTCTTTCATTTTGTCTAAAAAGTGAAAATAAATGGTTTTACAGATGCTATAATAATACAAGATAATAATGATATTGAAATTATTAGTACCTCCACTGCCGAAAATAAGTTTGTATATTTTTTGAATATTATATATAAGTAATACTTAATAAATTTAATATATAATTTTTTATATTATTTAATTTTTTTATGAATATACAAGACAATATTGAAATTATTAATACTGTTAAAGGTGCATTTTTAAAAAGATAGTAATTTTTTTTTTGATATGTATAATCGATAAATAAAAAAATTTTTTTTTTAAAAATATAGTATCATGAACTTTCAGTGAACTTGTCGAAAACATCAATACAAATTTTAAATTAGAAGATGATGAGACCAATTCTAATTTGACAAATGAAGATACCGAATCTGATTCTACAAATGAAAAAACTGATTCTGATTTGATAAATAAAGAAACTGGATCTCAAAATAAAATACAAGAATTTAATAAAGATATATATTTAAAATTTTTATATGTATTGTGATTCTTTTTTGGTATTTATATTGATGATCAAACCTTAAATAGTACATCGAATTGCTAATGCTAATGAATCTGATGAGGGTTAGATTACTAACACAACAGATAAGTTACAAGAATCTAATTTATTAATGGTATATTAAATAAATTTTAAAATAAAATATGTAGTTTTATTATTTATTTAATAGTATGTATTAATCAATATTTTAATTTTTATAATAAGTGGGATTCCGATTATCTACCAAATCTATGTCATCTTCCAAATTCTAATTCTTTTACCAATAATGAATTAGATAATATAGACAATGTAAGTAAAAACTTATATTATTTACAATAATTACTTTACTGATAATTTTTTGTAAATTGTTTGTCTGTAAATTAATTTATCATAACATAAAATTCTTTTATTGTTTTATTTTATAAAAATAGCAATTTTCAAAAATTATTAAATTAGAAAACCATAGTAGTAAAGAAATTGCAGAGCGAGTAAAATATCAATTAGAATTTGAAGAATATTCTGAAACAGCCCCGGATGGTGTTGCTTGTATTTACAATGTATCTGGTTTAGATCTAGAAATAGCACATGAAATATTTGATCTTAAAAATATTCAATACTCTTATAAGGAGAGCACAACTCGTGACAATATTTATTGTTCATTTCTAAATACTAAAGTTTATAAAGAAAACTGACAATGTTGTGGAGTTAAATTTTGTCAATATATTTTACCTGAGATTAAAAATACTTCACATACAATTGTTAACTTTGGTGATGAATTATTTAAAAAAATATTTGAAGCCAATGAATTATTGATTGATACTGCTACTTTAAAGTAAGTTTTTTTTAAAATTTTATAATTAATTATTTATTTAGTTCTAATATTTTTATTTAAAAATTTTTTAGTGAATTTGTTGCTGCATATAAAATTTCTTGTGAATATTATAATGAATTAACTCAAACACGATGTAATGGAAAGCCAGTTTTAGCAAAACATTATCAGGTATTTATATTAAATATATAATTTATTTATAATTATATTTTATAATATTATTAAATTATTTTTTAATGGCATGAAGAAGATATTTCCTCACCAAATTATTTTATTGGATGTCAAAATTATAAGCATGGTGAAAGGAAACATTGATATTTATCATTATTACAAAAAATAAATATTAATTATTTAAGGCAATTATTTCAAGATTATTCATATCGTGAAAATAACATTAATAATAAGGTATAAAATTTATATATTTAATATTTATATAATTTTTATATTATAATTTTATATTAATTAATATTTATTTTGTTAGTCTAAGGCTATCCAATATTGTTATACTATACTTTCTTTTAGCGCTCAACAAAAAAAATGCCATAAGTTAAATAAATAAATAAATAAATAAATATTATTAAATAAATATTATTAATTAAATATTATTAATTAAATATTATTAATAATTTATATTTTATAGTATATTTACATATAACAACCAGTAATGAAATTACTCATGGAGTTATTCAAAAACCTGATTTACAATATCCTGTTCAATTCTGGCATTATATACCAAAAAACCTTGAAGAATATCCTTTTATTATTATTTTATCAAGAGGAATTCATAATCATCCAGCGCCACCACCAACTAAAACACCTAAATCAATTTTAAATGATTTAAAAGATATAATTTATAATAAAGATATATTAGATCTTACAGCACATAGACTTTTAAATCGTAAATATTTTAATTTAATTTTTATAATTAAATTAATTCAAATATTAATATTGTTATTATTTAATAGAACCTATATTAATTTTATATTTAAAAGAAGTTCCACTACCTCAATTACATCTATTTTTAAATAATCTTTCAAAAATTGATGCATTAATTGCATCAAAAAAGTGTGCAGAACATCCTTATTTACAAAATATTTATGGAGTTGCATATTTATTAATGAGACAATCTAATAAAAATCTATATATTAGAACAATTAGTAAGTATAAAATTCTTAATTAATTATTAATTTTATATTATTATAATTTAGTAATATATAATTTTTATTTAAAGATTACTTAATGATAGTCAATATCTTGTATTATGTGAATACAAAACACAAATTAAAGGTCTTAGAAATTTAAAATATATTGAAATTGATATATCATTCAAACAAGTTCATGGTCCTATTAATGAATGGGAAATATGCGCATATGGTGAAACTTATAAAAAAAGTATGTTATAAAAATTATTATTAAATTTAATTATATATTTAATAAATAATCTAATAATTTAATAATATTTTAATTAAGCTTTGACTTTTGCACAAGTATTTACTATTTTGCAAACAGCTGAAACATATCAATGACTTTTTGAAGAATTGTTTTTATGTATTGAACATGATACTAAAAAACCAGTAAATTTTTATCATATTAATAATTGTGGTATTGGATGTATACTGGCAGATGAGCATCATAGTCAAGCTTTAGGTTAGTATATTATATTGTCAAATCTTAATTATAGTATATATTTGCTAAATTATATTTTATTTATATTATATTTTATATTTATTAAATTTTATTTTTATTATATTTTAAATTACATTGTATATTTAAAAATTTTTAACTAAAAATAATATAACTAAAATTTGATTATATAATTTTAAATTTATAATCATAATATTTAAATATTTAAATTAAATTTTTTGTAGAGCTTGGACAATATTTAAACCAAAAATATCCTATATTTAGTCCAACTGAACATTTAGAACGAATTTACAAAATTTGTA